CCCATTGCCTGAGGACTAAGCTAGAGCATTTATTCCCTATTACTTGTTTATGTTCCCCTCCCAAGACTTTTTTCTTCTTAGCTGGGTACGCTGGAGGGGAGGCACAGAGGCTTCTGCTCCCCAGCATTGCCACCTGTGTGGGGTGGGACACCTAATCCTGCTTGGAGACCATGAGGCTGAACCTCCCTTGCTGGGGAAGGGATGGAGCCAGCTGTCCCCTGTCCAGCATGACCCTGCCGTTAGCTCCCTGCCTACCCAGAGCAACCTTCGTGCTTGAGGGGAGGAAAGGGCAAGATGAGAAGAAAGAGGCCAAGTACTTACATACACGTGGGGTTTCTTACTGGCTTGCTCCAGACTGCTCACACACCATGTAGCTTTCTGGATCACCCTCGGTAGCATCTTGGTCTCTCTCCACTTTGTATACAGCAAGCACAGGCATCTAATGTAGTTTGGGATAGCCTGCTGCAGCCAAGTACCAGCATTCTGGTTGGTGCGATACCTAATGTAGACACTTGGGTGATTTTGCCCACAATATAAGCATGTGTATACACACACGTGCTCACAAATTAAAATGTAAAATTTGAATTCTGTCAGTTAAACTTATGAAAACTTGTGATTTACTTCTTAATCAAGAGGTGTGTGGGCACAACTCAATATCATCACTTCCTTTTTGTTTTTCTTTTTTCATTTTCTTGGATTTCAGATATTACCTTTGCCCATTTCTCAGCTGTTTTTTTGGTGCAATACTTTCTATGTTCTTTTAAGGCACTGGGGATATATAGCACGTTTGTTTCCTTTGCCTTTGTTTTGGAATTCCTGAGTCTGCTTTAAACTTCTTATTTCTTTAATTATGCTCGTGGAATTTAGTGATTAATGATTTTGAAGTAAGTGTGCTTGCATAAAAGAATTAGCATAAGAAAAATCATGGCTACTGATATCTGTTCTCCTTAATTTATGAAATTATTTGAAAGCCATTTGTGTAAGGTGCTGCTAACCATTTTTATGACATGCATTGACTTAGGTATGTTCTTTTCATGCTATACATCTGTAATATCAGGAGTTCTGTTTAGAAAAAGAGAATGCTTTGTCTCTGTGGCTGTTGCAGTCCAAGTAATAATTTACAAATCTGTTTCTATGAACAAAACAGTGCCACCGATACCAAAGAGAAGTAGACAAGGTCAAACTGAATAGGATATTAAAGTCATACGGTAC